CCCCCGGCATCAACTAGCTAAGTAAATTGGTTGATAGATTTTTAAACAGCACAGTCACGCGTGGAAGAGTTAGAGCAATTTACCAAAACAGTAATTACCACCTTTCAAAGACTTTTTTTTAAGTTCCAGTTTGGGTTGGTGCATTCTGCCTTTCTTTTAGACAAATAAACCAGTCCTGTCCTGTTACGTAGGTTTTTTTTTTCCTTCCTGCTCATATATTTCAGGTTCGGAATTGGTGCTGGTAAAAGTGAGATCTGTCTTTTCAACTCTTTCACAGAGCCCAAGCGTTCATTAGCAATCGGCCAAATGGCCTGAGTGCAGAGAGCGCTGGGTTGTCCGGGCAGCCCGTGCTTCTTTGGTGAAATCACATTATAAATGGTGTGGTTTTACCGGTGGTTCCCAAAAAGTGCATCTTTGCACCCCAGCGTATGTGTGACGCAGAAAGCAATACAGCGCTGATGCACACAGAAAGAGGCGAGGTGTCACAAATGCGTATTTGCACATTTCACAGGCATTTTCTTGGGAGGGTTTCTCCTCTAATATGTTTTTTAGGTAAACGCAGATAGCTGCTAAAACTTGTAGCAGACTAATAATCTTACTGAGGGTTAAAATGCTAAACGTGGACTTTGTTGTATGAATAAAAAACAAAATCAAAATTCTCCAGCACTTATGTTTTCTCCCTAAACCCCTGTTTACCATATCACCAGTAGCACACACAAAAAAACAAAAAAAAAAAAAGAAAAAAAGAAGGCCTTCCTGGGTTTTGGCATCTCCCTCTGAACTTATAAAAAAGAAATTAAAAAAGGACAGATTTTTGTTCAAGTCAACATGTGAATGGCATAGGCTGCTAGACATTCAGAGGCTGCTGCTAGGATGGTTCCAAGACAGTAAAACATAAAAGGTAATTAAGCATTGAAACTTTGGTTTTAAATCCAGTACCTGAACTCTTCTCTGGTTTTAGAGTATTTTATGTTTTAAATATTTCATTAGTATGATTCCCAATTAAACTGGCTTGTCTCTGCAGAAAGCAATGTATATATTTATGACTCAAGTTTATCCAAGAATACAGTGAACATAGTCTTATGCAAAAAATACAACCACAGATGGAGTGATATGAAAAAGCTACCTGAAACCTGCTGCTTTTTTCCAACAAACTTATGCTCCCAGTGAAGTCTCCAAACTAATTAGAATTGATCTATTATGGATCAGGTACCTTATCAGGTGAAGAAAGAAATTACCATGGACAGTCAAAGGGTTGAGAGGTCAATACAGAATAGCAAAATCAATTTGCATTGATTAGACAACAGGTCCATTTTACAGAGCCCAAAGGATTAACTTTTAAGCAAACATCTTTGAACTATAAGACAGCATTTGTGACTGAGAGGTATAAGCGGTGCAGCATTAGAAAACACTTAAGATATTTAAATAAGAAAATAATGCAAGCAATGGTTTAAGCTATCTGGATGTTTATTTTTTATTATGAATCATCCCCAGGATTATTGTACAATTCACTTGAAAGCCCTATGGAAAGGACGCAATTGTTTCATTTATCCCACGTGTCAATCTTCCCATGAGTTTTCATTCAGGTAAGGTGACTAAACTCGGGAGAGTTGCAGAGAAGGGAGAAAATCTGTGCAAAGGATTGCACTAATCCTGGTGTTGCTTGAGATGAAATATTTACTTGGCAAACGTAGTGTTTTACCACCAAAACCGATGAGACCTTTTCCCCCCCAGTGAGATAGTGTTGTAAAACACATCTAAAACATTAAAAGGAAGGAGGCTCCCTTCTGTGGGTCACCCCTTCCATTTTCTGCAGCACCCAAAGCAGCGCAATGCCACAGGAAAGCCAGGAGATTATTACTGCGACAAAAAATAATAAACTCCGGACAAATTTTCTTTACCTCCTCATCACTTTGTTTTCAAAGTTTATTCCAAGGAGACCATATTTCTTTGTCCCATATCTTGGACATTTCCCCTCCCCGCCCGGAATAAAACATAAGGATGTGATCGTGGACCCAGCCTATTTGCTGCGTGCTATCACTTGAAATAATGTAAATATCAGCATTAATTCTTAACTGGGCTTCAGAGAAGCCTCCATGTTTGGTACTTGCAGGTAGCCACCTTCAGCAGCAAGCATTTTCCTTCCCTCGGTACCCAGCATTGCTCTTACCTTCAATAGCAAGCATTGCTCTTAGCTCCCGATTCAGCAGTTCGTAGCGCCTTTCTAGGTCATGTTCTTTTTCCCTAGGCAAGTTGCAAAAGTTCATCAATATGTTAATTACTAAATCATTAAACACTTAAAAGAACCTTTAACTTACATTGATTTTAGGACTCATAACCGACTTTTCTCTTTAACTTTAAGCTACTCCAAACAAATGATACACAAACTTAAAACCTTGCTCAGGTGGCATATTCAGTAAAAGGGCCTTTTCATTTTCTATAATGTCAGCTTTAATTCTGTCAATTTAACTCTATTGTGCTACAGGACGTAATTATTTCATATTCATCCTTGGAGCGGCTGTTGTGGAATGTCCTAAGTATAAAACATTCCCCCGGATCTAATGAACAAATTCCAGCATCAGCCTATTCACCAAGATAATATGACACTGGAAGTATTATCCTATATACGTTCTGCCCTAATGAATAATGAAAATTAGAGACAGGATTAGAAAGCTTAATATTTTGAAGGTAGAATCTTCCGTCAAGTTCAGACACGGTAGGAAATTTGTGAGCACAGGCTCTTCCCAGGGAAGTATGCAGGCGTCTACACTAGGTGGCATTACTGAAAGAAATACAAACAAACCGAAAGAAGCTGGAGAAGAAACACTGATGGCAGAATGCCTCTAAAAACGAGCAGTGTCTTCTCCCTTCCTCGCCAGTGCTAGCAAAAAAAGTTTATTTGTCCTTACTTTGCATTATCGGTGGTACCATCGCACCGTGACTGATTCACTAATATCCTTTCAGCAGTCCGGTGCTGCTGAACTAGCGATGGGATTGAGGATTTCTACGAAGCAGGCAGCGACTCAAATTTTGCTCTCTCTCCGAATAGTCTTCACCTGTCACATCTGAGGCACAATCCAAATCTATTTGCGCATTTCTAAAATGTAATTTTATTCTACTGTTGGGCCTTTGAAAATGTAACTGTACTTAATATCTCTTTAATTTTTTTTTTTTTTTTTCACAGCTCTGGCTAATCTTGTGTCATTGCACGCTTCTCATTTTCAAGTCTGAAATATGAGAAAAACAAGTTACTCAATGTGTTCCACAAATCATCCATGCTGCTCACTTTTGAGGGAACTTTTGAAGTCTAACGGGAAAAAAAGAGTTTTGCATCTGTCTGCTGGGTGAATGTTCTAGTAAATCATCCTTTTGTAAATACATGTATCCATCTGTACTTACAGAAGAGAAAGCTGGTTCATTCGTCTTATCAAGGCATTCTTCTTATTAACCAGCATGAACCATTCCTGCATCATAGCTTCTTCTTCTTCTGTGTTTCTTCCTGCAATCGAAAGAATTTCATTACTCAGTGGCATTTCACAAATTGAGCTACATATTTCAATTCAGGTTTTGGAGTATCGGTCTCCAATATCATTGAGCATTACAAGGCATACTCTCAAATGGTAAAAATACCATATGACTACAAGTCCTGCAGCCCAGTGCTGCTTGCTCCATAAATAAATCTTTGAAAGCAGACATTATTCAGCATACATTTTAGTGTTCTTTACCACGCTGATACCCCAAACTAAATAAACGCCTCTTAAAAAGTACTGTATCTTTTAAATTCTTCCGAAAGAACTATATTGTTGCTACGCTCCCAATGAAAAAAAACTTGTTGCTAAAAGACGTCTCGTCAGCACAGGCCTCCAAACACAAAAACAATCCTTGTGAGCAAGACCCACTCCATCCATGCGAACCCAGCGCAGTCAGGATGACGTGGTAGGGATCAAAGCAGCTGCAGAGGAGATGGCAGTCCTGAACCCTTGGCCAAGGCTCAGGCACTTGCTCCACTTCTCTGGGCTTAAGGCCACTCTTCCAGACGATGAGCAGGAAAGGGCTGCTCCTCTCCTCACCCGCAATCAAAGGGAGCATCTGCGCAGACACGAATCATTTTGGGGTCCAGGTGCCTAAGGGTTCCCATGTATATATGCATGGACTGGCACCCCTTTCCCCAGCCCGTGTTCATCATTGCCTCAGGATCAGGACCCTCAGTCAGGCAGTGCTATGCTCTACTGGACTCTATAAGACTCTGTGTTACCACCTCTGCACCATCGGGCCATGTGGGGGAAAGGGAGATGAGTGCCCAGAAGGCTCCTGACTGTCCTTTTCATGTAGCAGGGCCACTCAGCCAAATTTCACTCTCTCTGAGCTGGGGGCCTAGGAGAAACCTCCTCAAAGTCCTTTGCGGAGACTGCACCTCTGCAGTGACCTGCTATTCTCATCTCTCGAGTTGAGCTGAGGAGCAAAGACTATATGGTCCTCAATGAATTATGAAACTCTCTTATTTCTTATGGTTAAAATTAATCTGGGAAGAAACCTGGTATAGTGGCAAAGAAGCAGGAGCTGGGACTTCTGAGTACTTCTCCCAGCTCTGACACTGCTTCCCTGGGAGACCATGGGCAGATCTCTGCATTTAAGCACCTCGTGTGTAATACGGGGATAATCATCCGTACCGATCTCGCAAAAGTTAATTTGTTGATATTTGTAAAGGGTTTTGAAATCTCTGATACAAGGTGCTGTACACTCGGGGAAGCTATCCTATTAACTTAAACCATAGGATCTCTAGTTGCAGAGAAGCAATTTCCAGCACCAGAAGCTGGAAAGACACCAGAAGAAATATTGGTTTGCTCTAAAAGAAAGCTTTCAATTTCTGAATGGGAGCATTTGAAATGCTTGCACATACGTGCCTGCCACGCGCACGTTCACACCCCAATGCCATGGTAGTGTGCAAGCCCAGATCTGCATGGAGAACCACCTCCTCACCCAGCTATGTCCCTGCTGCATGCAAAGGAAGGTCACCGGCCTTCTCCAAGCTGTTTGATTCCCCCTGCGGTGGCCTGTGGGCTTGGTGCATCCACACAAGGGCAGGAAAAGGAGATGAACAGGGAAGCAAGTCAGCTTGGGGTGAAGCTGGTGGACCCACACAGTAAGAAAAAGCAATGCCATTTGGTGTGCTCTTCTTTCTAATGTGAGACATGCCCCCGTATCCACTTATCACCCTGGCAAGCTCCTAGTTGATGAAACCATTCCTTGGAAGGGTGCTTTTAGGGTACACAATTTGCTAGCAGCAAGATGGGAAGGGCAGAGCATCCTAAACTGGGGACGGCCCTGCAGCTTTTTTCCAAGAAGAAGCAGCAGGGTCCAGCTCCTCGATGACGGAGCGATGAAGGAAGATATCTGTCACGTAGAAATGCTCTCCCCCAAGACCTCCAACTTCTGGTTTTGCACAGAAAATACTAGACCACGGCATTTACAATAACGTTCACCAGTTCAGCACTCCCCCCAAGAGGATTAAAACTTATAAGTACACTTTGCTGTTAAGTTACAGATCAAAGGCATTGCTGTATTAGTCCATCTAACAGGGTCTGCTTTTAGAAGTAGATGATAATCAATATTAGCAACCTTTCGTTGAAATGCACCAAGTAGCTGGAATTTATTTGGGGAAGAGGGAAAGAAAAAGGGGATAGATTGCCTTTTTTATCCTTGCAAAACAACCGGTCTATTCTGTGACGCATGAAATTGCCACACTGCCGGTGAAAAAAAGTTCTCACAACCAGACACATGTGGCCATAGTAACATTTTAATCCATTTATGACACTAAATTTGTTGGGTTTGGGGTGGTCTGGGATCTCTGGCTAAAAGGTGCCACTATAAATGCAAGCTCTTGCTGCATTTCACTTTGCAAGCCTTGAAAAAGAAATAAGAGACAGAAATGTTTCAAAGGAGTTTGACTCAATGGCGGATCTGAACTTGAATTTCATGCCATGCAATCTCAGGGTAAGAACATAAACTTCTTTCTATTAATGCATTCCTCCTAAATAAAGTTAGTTGCAACATATAACGAGAAAAGATCTAGGTAAAGCTTGGAGCTGTTGAGTCAGATCTGAACAGGTTTTTTATTTTGATATTTCCACGCTGACACCAAAGCACAGGCAATATCCATAGAATAGCCTGGTTTAAAAGTGAGTTAACAAAGTCTTGATTGTTTTTACAGAATTTTTCATCTGTTTTTGTATTCGCTTTGGGCCCATGTGATGCCCTGACACCGGTCATGTGATATCGGCTGCGATAGGCACAAATCCCCGGGCAGCAACAAAAGAAGAAAGAGTAAAAAAGAAAAAGCTGAGAAAAAGCTTGCAATTTGGAAAAAGGCCAATTGTACCCCGGCGAAGGCCTTTTTGATCAGTGAAATGACACATGTGTGCAATATTAATAGCAGTCGATGCTGATATTTTATTTGTTGACTGTCAGCTTTTAAATTCTTGCGCATGGAGCTGAAACAGATTCTTCCCAGGCAAGCAAAATAAAGATGAACTCCCATATAGAAGAAATTTAAATAACTCTTTTCAGCAAATACACCACCATTAGAGTATTACTTCTTTTTTTTTCCCCCCCCTTGGTGGAAGGATGCATGCGAAACACTTTCAACAAAGAAAAACTGAGTGTTATTACTGCAGTGATATTTCAAGCTAAATTCATATTTAGAATTTCTAAATAAAAAAAAATTAGAAAAAGCCTTTCTTCAACACAATTTCACAGTTTCACTCTGTAAAACCCTGCTGCTGCTGGGGTTGTTTTTATTTCCACTTTCCAAGTGTAAAACAAGTATTTAATTGACTTGCTACAAATGCTTGAAAATTAAAATTGGGAAAATATCTGTGTTGTTCTGGGGGAAAAAAAAATACTGTACAGATTATTTAAATGAAGTGAAAAACATGTTTGAGAACAAATCGATCCCATGCATGCAAACCCCTTATCTGAGCCAGTACAAGATGATGAAAATCTATAAATAGCCCACAGATCTTAAACTTAAATTTTTTTCCATAATACACGCATTACACTATTGTTTTCGATAAAAAACAACAACAACAACAACAACAACAACAACAAAACCCTTTTAAAGCTAGTAAGTTGGACCATTACAAATTAATCCTGACTTTAATAACTGGTTAAAGACCCCTTCAGCTTTATAAGTAACAAAAAATATTAAAGCCTGTGATCACAGCGAGCTTTTCTCATTTCTCCTCTAACCATTTGTTATTTAATCCAATACTAGTAATCCAATTTGTCCATCAGACTTTTAAAGGGCAGAATGCAACTTCCCCAGCTTAGACACTTTTCAAAGTACAATATATTTTTCAAATGAATGCTGGATGTTTCATTTTTTCCCCAACTGTTCCTAGCTCTAATGTATGAGGAAAAAAAGAACAAGATGAACATTGTTCGTACTGATTAAGTAAGAGCTCATTAAAGAGCTGTCAGTGCCGTACTTTGAATATGCATGAAGCATATAATCAGATCTAGTACCGTCACTAGAGGAGAATACGGTAAGTACAAAGGATTGATTTAATTACTTAGAGTGGGCTGTGGTGGTAAAGCAGTCTTGTTAGCGCAAAAAGAAAAGGAGGTTGTATTCTGGCACGGTTAGGGGAAAAAGGCAGTTTTAGCTTCTGCCACAATACCTAATCTCAGGATAAAGCACTTTACATTGTAGCTTAAAATGAAGACTGTCAGTTTTCTAAAAAGACCAGAATTCATCTTATCTTGTTTAACCTCACCTGGTTAACTATCTAGCAGAACATATTTATTCTCTTTAACACGTAATTATGCTTATACCTTTTTATCCTATAGTTCAATAATGACTTCTGAAAACAGTCTTCAAATAAAAGTGCGTAGTGCTGCAAACATCATATGCATGCAAAATGCTCGGTAAAAGATTTGAAAAATGCAGAACCAGAAACTAAGACGAAACAGTAAGTACACACGCCTTTATGTAAAAAGACAATACAGCTTTTAATGTCGGACTTCACTATTAGATAGGTTCTGAGGCAAGGTTTCGCTAATTTATTTTCTTCCCCCCCCCCCCCCTTTGTGCTTTCTTTTTTATTTTTTTTATTTTCTTTTTTTTTTTTAATCAATACATTCTTGTTTGATTCTTCCTCTAGGAATCCAGGGGAATTCTCTCACAGCAACTCTCAGTGCCATTTTCTAATTTCATTGTCTGGCTTGAGTGGTGAAGGATGCGTGCTCTATTCTTCTCTTCACTTGACATCTACCAGAACCCTCCTCAATGATTAGGAACGAGCCCAACACCAAACCCAGAATAGCACAAGACACTAAATTCTGCCCTCAGATAGGAGAAAATCCTACTGACTTCTGAGTTGTGATTCTGCGCTGCAATAGCTCCTGTGCAGGATTCAATCAGGGCTGCAGCATAAAGTTTGGTCATTTTGTCCCTTACTGGGACACATTTTAATGACAGCCAAAATAATGATAGCCAGA